AATGCGTCCACATCCTTTCTATAGCGGGGAGCCCAGAACTGGACAACTAGTCTCAATTCGATTCCTCTCCAATGCGTCCACATCCTTTCTATAGCGGGGAGCCCGGAACTGGACAACTAGTCTCAATTCTATCCCTCTCCAACGCGTCCACATTCTTTCTATAGCAGGGAGCCCGGAACTGGACAACTAGTCTCGATTCGATCCCTCTCCAACGCATCCACATCCTTTCTATAGCGGGGAGCCCAGAACTGGACAACTAGTCTCGATTCGATCCCTCTCCAACGCATCCACATCCTTTCTATAGCGGGGAGCCCAGAACTGGACAACTAGTCTCGATTCGATCCCTCTCCAACGCATCCACATCCTTTCTATAGCGGGGAGCCCAGAACTGGACAACTAGTCTCGATTCGATCCCTCTCCAACGCATCCACATCCTTTCTATAGCGGGGGGCCCGGAACTGGACTAGTCTTGATTTGATCCCTCTCCAACGCATCCACATCCTTTCTATAGCGGGGGGCCCGGAACTGGACAACTAGTCTTGATTCGATTCCTCTCCAATGCGTCCACATCCTTTCTATAGTGGGGGGCCCGGAACTGGACAACTAGTCTTGATTTGATCCCACGTTAAACCATCTGCTTTTACTTCGTCCAGGAAGCTTTGCTGCCATTTCAGGGATTCCATTCTAGTGCTTGTCTCCTGATACATGCCTCACAGTCCTTATGCAGGATGTGGCCTGCTCATCGCCATCTTCTCGTCTTAATCTGGACCTCAATTGGTTTCTGATTTGTTTCGGCCCACAAAGTTTCGATTTGGCATTCTATCGTATTACCGGAGAATGTGTTTAAGGCATTTATTGACAAACATCTGAATTATCTTGCTCTGCTAGTGCTTGTCTCCTGATACATGCCTCACAGTCCTTATGCAGGATGTGGCCTGCTCATCGCCATCTTCTCGTCTTAATCTGGACCTCAATTGGTTTCTGATTTGTTTCGGCCCACAAAGTTTCGATTTGGCATTCTATCGTATTACCGGAGAATGTGTTTAAGGCATTTATTGACAAACATCTGAATTATCTTGCTCTGGACCATGCGCCACACCTCCGAACCATACAGCAGCACTGATTTCACATCGGAAGTGCAAATGCGTAGTTCGGTTCTTGTTGAAATGGCTCTTGTCGCCCAGTCTGGTCGTGGTATGGCAACGGCTTGTTGTGCCTTTCGTATTCTCGCATTGATGTCCTCTTCAGTTTTCCCATTCTTGCTGATAACACCCCCCAACTATACCAACTGGTCAACCTCTTGCACTGCATTTCCTTTGACTCTTTGTATACTTAAGTTTTAATTTGATTGTGTTAATGACATCTGGGGAAGGTATTCAGATAATCTGTGTTCTTGCTGCCATATTCATTGTGGTGATTATCATTATCTTCCCTTTAGCAATAAAATTGTTTTCTATTTCATTTCCTGAGTTAAGATGTGGTTGCTGTTGATCGCTTGTGGGCCCTCAAGAGGGGAAATCATATGGTTCCACTGCATTTCTAAGAAATTGGATGAGGTTCAACAAGGAAAAGTGCAGAGTCCTGCAGTTGAGACGGAAGAATCCCAAGCATCGTTACAGGCTGGGGACCGACTGGCTAAGTAGCAGTTCTGCAGAAAAGGACCTGGGGGTTACAGTAGATGAGAAGCTGAATAGGAGTCAACAGAGCGCCCTTGTAGCCAAGAGGGTGAATGGCATATTAGGGTACATTAGGAGGAGCATTGCTAGCAGATCTAGAGAAGTGATTTTCCCCCTTGATTCGGCACTGGTGAGGCCACATCTGGAGTATTGTGTCCAGTTCTGGGTCCCCCACTATAGAAAAGATGTGGATGCATTGGAGAGAGTCCAGCGGAGAGCGACCAAAATGAGTCGGGGGCTGGAGCGCATGACCTACGAGGAGAGGCTGAGGGATTTGGGTTTGTTTGGTCTGCAGAAGAGAAGAGTGAGGGGGGATTTGAGAGCAGCCTGCAACTTCCTGAAGGGAGGTTCCAAAGAGGATGGAGAAAGGCTGTTCTAAGTAGTGATGGATGGCAGAACAAACAGCAATGGTCTCAAGTTACGAGGGGAGACGTCCAGGTTGGATATTAGGAAAAACAATTTCACTAGGAGGGTGGGGAAGCACTGGGATGGGTTCCCTAGGGAAGTAGTGGAGTCTCCATCCCTAGAGGTGTTTAAGTCTCGGCTTGACAAACCCATGGATGGGTTGATTGAGTTGGGATTGGTTCTGCCTTGGGCAGGGGGTTGGACTTGATGACCTCCTGAGGTCTCTTCCAGTTCTACGATTCTATGATTCACTGTGACGGGGGATAGAGGATGCACTTAGATTTTCTGCTCAGATTGGTGAGCCTTACCCATCCAAATGTTACTAAAACTCGTTCCCAGGCTAATGTGAAGTGTGGCGATGAAAGTGCTTGGTTGGACTTGATGACCTCCTGAGGTCTCTTCCAGTTCTACGATTCTATGATTCACTGTGACGGGGGATAGAGGATGCACTTAGATTTTCTGCTCAGATTGGTGAGCCTTACCCATCCAAATGTTACTAAAACTCGTTCCCAGGCTAATATGAAGTGTGGCGATGAAAGTGCTTAAAGCAAAACGGGACAAACGAGATGATGGAGAGAGTTTCTTTTCCCGTTTGTGTTTTGGTGAGTGAGCAAATCAACTAATTTCTGGACGTACATGGTGCAAAGTTACAGCCACAATCCAGAAGGCCAAGCAAAAATTCAGATCTGTCAAGTTTCTATTGTGGCATAGCTCTTGGGCTAGGCAGCCGTATCAGTATCAGCCTGGTATTGGTAGGCTAAGAACATAAGAACGGCAGTTCTGGGTCAGACCGAAGGTCCATCTAGCTCCGTGCCCTGTCTGCCGACAGTGGCCAATCCCAGGTACCCCAGAGGGAGTAGACTGAAGACAATGATCAAGCGATTTGTCTTCTGACATCCATCTCCAGCCTCTGACAAACAGAGGCCAGGGACACCATTTCTATCCCCTGGCTAATAGCCTTTCATGGACCTAACCTCCATGAATTTATCTAGCTCTTTTTTGAACCCTGTTCAAGTCCTAGTCTTCAGCACATCCTCCGGCAAGGAGTTCCACAGATTGGCTGTGCGCGGTGTGAAGAAAAACTTCCTTTTTGTTGGTCTGAAACCTGCTGCCTCTTCGTTTCATTTGGTGACCCCTCATTCTTACGTGATGGGAACAAGTTACTAACTTTTCTTTCTTCACTTTCTCCACACCTGATTTTATAGACCTCCAGCCTGTCCCTGCCCTTAGTCTCCTCTTTTCTAAAAAGTCCAAGTCTTTTTCCTCTCTCTTCATATGGGACCCGTTCCAAACCCTGAATCTTTTGTGTTGCCCTTTTCTGAACCTTTTCCAATGCTACTGTTTGGCCCACCTATCTTGTACAGAAGGAAGTGGAAATACAGCTGTGTCCCATGTGTCATGCATGACTCAACCAGCTCTCGAGATGAGTTGAGGATTCAGTATTGTTCCATGCCAGGTGCCCTTTTGCTCCATTAGGTACATTCCAGTCTAGGATTTGACTGTACACCCCATACCGGTCAAGCAACACCAGATCTTTTGCTGGGTTTCAATGAGGGTCCCCTGGCCAATTTGGTCAGACCAGAGTGCCCAACAGATTTGCCGATGACCGATCCAAGGTTGAAAGAGGTGGCTGGATGTCTGGAATAGGTTGCAGTGGCTCCCGGAGTTAGTTGATAATGATGGACAACTGCGTGTCTTCTGAGAAGGATTGGACACATGAGGTCCCTCAAGCATCTGTCCCATCTCCATTGTTCAATGTACACAGGACGACTTCTGAACACTATGGGACAGATACGTCCGTTGACACTAGCTGAGTATTTCCATTGACTTCTGTGGAGCTACACTGGTTTGACCAAGCTGAGGAACGGGCCCTACATTTGAGACTAGCCTTCTCCTGCCAATTTTTTCTCTCACACCTCACCTGTCATACACTGGCTGGCAGGCAAGTCTATCCAGCACCGGAAGGGACAATTGTGATCATCCTAGATGGACCACAAGTCCATCCAGCACTGGAAGGGGCAACAGTGATTGTCCTAGATGGACCTCAAGTCTATCCAGCACCGGAAGGGGCAACTGTGATCATCCTAGATGGACCGCAAGTCTATTCAGCACCCGAAGGGGCAATTGTGATCATCCTAGATGGACCGCAAGTCTATTCAGCACCCGAAGGGGCAATTGAGGTCCATCTAGGATGATCGCAAGTCTATCCAGCACCGGAAGGGGCAACTGTGATCATCCTAGATGGACCTCAACTCTACCCAGCACCGGAAGGGGCAATTGTGATCGTCCTAGATGGACCTCCAGTCTATCCAGCACCGGAAGGGGCAATTACGATCATCCTAGATGGACCTCAAGTCCATCCAGCACCCGAAGGGGCAATTGTGATCGTCCTAGATGGACCTCAAGTCTATCCAGCACCGGAAGGGGCAATTGTGATTGTCCTAGATGGACGTCAAGTTTATCCAGCACCGGAAGGGGCAATTACGATCATCCTAGATGGACCTCAAGTCCATCCAGCACCCGAAGGGGCAATTGTGATCGTCCTAGATGGACCTCCAGTCTATCCAGCACCGGAAGGGGCAATTGTGATCATCCTAGATGGACGTCAAGTCCATCCAGCACCCACGGAAGGGGCAATTACGATCATCCTAGATGGACCTCAAGTCCATCCAGCACCCGAAGGGGCAATTGTGATCATCCTAGATGGACCTCAAGTCTATCCTCATCCATTTGATTTGGACTGTAGCCAGGGAGGCCTTTCATTAGACTAACGTTTTAAGTGTGCTGGATTTCAAACATGGTTTACAGCACACCACAACTTGCGCCCCTCGGGATGAGGCGGGGTGAGGTATTAGAAAGAAATGAATCCTAGAACGATGGCAACACAATTTACACAGTCAGGAGAAACGACACAGGGTATAAAACGTCTAGCTAGTTTATTTCTACCGACAACACAGGTAGAGAAACATGCGCCTTTGAAAAACCAAACCAAAACTGTTCTCCGGAAACTGCTGGTTTGATGCAGTTGGAGACAAACACTGAACCATACCACTTGGGCTGCCTGCGGACACGAGCACCTGAAATGCGGCCACTGAGGCTGGAGCCCAGGTCGGAGAGGGGCAGAGAATGGGAACGAAAGCCAGGGTAGCGGCCTAGGCAGGATTACTGGTCCTCCACTTCCGAACATCAAACAAGTATCTCTCCTCCACCCTGTGATCGCTAATCTGTTCCTGTGCCTGTTATCTCTATGCCAGAAAGAATTTAAAACCAGAAGAGAGATCTTTAATCTAAGTAAAAATGTGCCCCGTCGAGCAAGTTAAATGCAAAGATGGCAGATTAGGCCTCCCTAGGGGAATGCATTACGGCCTGTTAGAATCGTAATCCGCACATTCTCCGACGTCCGATACGTGACAGCAGCCATCAATTTCTGCCTGCCGGGAGCAGCTGAACCGGCTCACTGACTTTCCTCTTCTTCCTTGGCTCCATCATCTCTTCCTGGCTGAACGCAAAGTCCAGGCGGTGTTCCTGCAAGAGCCACCAGAGAAAAGGGGTCATGTTCACGGCACAAGCTTCTGGAACCCTCGAGTCATAGATTTTCTAGATTTCCTCGAACCGAGAGTCACAGAATCCTAGAACACTAGAACCGGGAGGGACCTCGAGAGAGCATCAAGTCCAGTCCAAGCACTGTCTAGACCAGGGCTACTCAATGTTGGACACCCTGGGGGCCACAATGATACTCACAGCACATGCCGAGGGCCACAACTTGAGTGTGGTTGCATAGATATGCAAATATAGATGCAAATATATGCAAATAACTTATTTCACACTGACGGGCATGAATACAACGCTTAAGGCAAGATTACACAACATGTAGGCCTCATTTGAGTCACTTCTGCTAATATGAATAAATTGTAACAATTTCCTCCCATATGACAGCACTTTTAACGAGCAATGACAATCCAGGAATTTAACAGCTAAAACGCATATCAACAGAAAACCATCATATTGGCTACTTTTTTGTTTTGGCTCCCGCCTGTGGGCTGCGCGTTGAGTCTCGAGTAAACCCAAATTGCACCGCAGGCCGCAAACAAATGGGCATGTTGAATAGCCCTGTTCTAGACCATCCCTGGTAGACATCTGTCCAACCTTCTCTTCAATATCTCCAGTGATGCAGATTCCACAGCCTCCCGTCCTCTGTCCTCACGACAGGACTAAGCACCGTCTAGACCATCCCTGGTAGATGTCTGTCCAACCTGCTCTTCAATATCTCCAGCAATGGAGATTCCACAACCTCCCGTCCCGTCCTCACGACAGGACCAAGAACCATCTAGACCATCCCTGGCAGATGTCTATAGAATCATAGAACACTAGAACTGGAAGGGACCTCTAGAGGTCATGAAGTCCAGGTACCTGGCAGGACCAAGCCCCGTCTAGACCATCCCTGGTAGATATCTATCCAACCTGCTCTTCAATATCTCCACTGATGGAGACCCCACAGCCTTCCTTGGCAATTTATTCCAGTGCTTCGCCACCTGGACCATTAGGAGGTTTTTCCTAACGTCCAACTCAACCTCCCTTGCTGCAATTTCTACGCAAAATATGAGACACGAAAACCCAAACTTGAGAAGGCCATGTAGGGAGCTGGGGTAAAATCTGCCGGGGATGGTACTTGGTCCTGCTGTGAAGGCAGGGGACTGGACTTGATGACCTTTCAAGGTCCCTTCCAGTTCTAGGAGATAGGCATCTCCTTTCATTTCATTTCAGAAATAGTGGAGGTTAGCTGTTGGGGGTAAAAAACCTCTTGCCACTATATTCATCTAGCCAGCCAAACAAAGAGTAGAAAAGATGATATCTGTTGTGTCCGCAAAAGCAACAAAGAGTCCCGTAGCACCTTATAGACTGACTAAAATGTCTTGGATCGTGACCTTTCGTGGGTAAAGACCCACTTCATCAGATGCATGTCATATTGGCTACTTTTTTGTTTGTTATGTCTGCAGTGACTTAACGAAAGGCAGCCGGCACCTGGTTCTTGGCAGGAGACACGTAGGGTGTGTCGTCTACATTTCCGTTCAACACCTGCGGCTCCCTGGTATGAGCTGAACCGATTTGGGGGGATCGGGATTGCAGAGCTATTCAACTGCAGCGTAGACATTCTGGCGGATACCATACTAGATTTGAAATACCATGGGGATTGGTGTAGACCAAATATGTCCTTCATTTTCTGTCATACTAAACACTTCGGCTGTGCGTTTCAAAATAACGTTCTTGCTTGCACTCACAGCAGCGTATGCTATCGTTCCTCGTTGCAGGCGGAAAGGGCGCGCTTTGCTAATCTAGCCCTGGCAGCCAGGAGTTGAAAGTTGCTCCCACGACAACATGAATTCAAGGCCACCAGCTGGCCCGGTGCGGTCCCTGCAGAATTCCTCCGTCATTGCTTTCTATCGAACCCATGTGGCTTTGAAATAGGGATTGGTAACATCTAGGACTGTATGGGCTTTCAAACATGTGAGACACACAGATTAGAGGAACCGTGAAAGGAGTCCAAACTCTACCCCCGCTCCATGATTCAGCCTGTGTTTTTAACGTGCTTCTCTTTCCTCCTAGTCGTTATCTAGCAAAGCAGGCCAACAGTCACTAAAACACAGAGCCCAACTTCCTTTCTTAATTTAAACATGGACCAAAAACCAGATCCACAAAGTGAGGCAGGTAGTCACACAGATTAGAGGAACCGTGAAAGGAGTCCAAACTCTACCCCCGCTCCATGATTCAGCCTGTGTTTTTAACGTGCTTCTCTTTCCTCCTAGTCGTTATCTAGCAAAGCAGGCCAACAGTCACTAAAACACAGAGCCCAACTTCCTTTCTTAATTTAAACATGGACCAAAAACCAGATCCACAAAGTGAGGCAGGTAGTCTGTTGCCCAAGCACCAAACCTAGGCCGGCAAAACTCCCCGTGACGTC